ATGATATGATGCCTCGGGGGGGTGAGATGAGGCCCTGTTCTGAGAAGCGGCGCAGCGTGTCAGGATGACATTGACGGAACCAACCACGACACCTGCATCCGTGGCTTTCCCGATCAAGTCAAACCCACACCTTAACCCAGGCCTCAACTTCTGCCTCAACTTCTGTGTCTGTGGTTCGTGCCTCTGGGCTGGGCAGGGCTGCTCAGAGAGAGGGCAGTGGCCTGGAGCATGGGGAGGCACAGAGCGAGCGGGGAGACCCCCTGGCAGGTGGAGGAGTTGAGTCTTTCCCCACAGACTGAAGTGGGGTACGGAATTTTGGGGAGCAGGTGGGAGCCCTGGGGCTCCGTCCCCTCTTGGGTTCTTACCCCCTGCCCATAACTGCCCTCACCCAATAGACTCTGCTTCCACCCCTGCCCCCCTCCCCGCATCCAGGATGGGGTTCCCACGATCACACTTCTTCGAGAGAGATGTCACCCAATCTCAGCCCGCCTTCCCAGCCCCCTCGCAGATGGCCCCGCACCCACTGTGACTGTCTCTTGCCCTCACAGACTCCGGCCTCTCAGAGCTGAGCTGTGACCCACCCCCCTTCCCTGCCCAGGGCCCGCCCCAGCCCCCACTCCCAGCTCAGCACAGCTGCCTTCCATAGCAGCAGCAGCGCAGAGGGGCGGGGGTCCCGGAATCTGCAGCCCTGCCACTCTGGGTGCTCACGGGGAAACTGAGGCTCCCGAAGGGCAGGACTGCATCCCTGGGCGTGCACCCCCACATCTGCCGATGCCCTCCAGGTCTGGGTGGACTCAGCAGTAAGAACATGGAGTGGAGGGGGTGGGGATTGGTACCCCTTCCCTCAGAGGTCCCTGCCTGCCTGGGGCAAGGCAGAGAAGAGCTTTGATGAAAGGAGGGTCTGAGGAGGGGCCCCTGGCAGGGACCCTGTGGGATTGCCGAGGCACTTTTCCTGGCCTTTCTTGCAGCCTCAGTTTCCCCACGTGCTGGGCAGGGCGAGGACAGGACTTGGAGCCCTGATCCCCGAGGGCCTTGGAGTGCTGACATTCCAGGGCTCTCACTCTGTAACCCCGAGTCCGGGCCTCCTCCTCCCTCTGGCATCTCGTTTATTCAGAGCATCCCTGGCCTGAGCCCAGAAACTGCCCCAGACACCCCTTCCTCCCCGCAGCAGCCCCCTTCCTCCCCACCTCCCTGCCTTTCCTTCCTAACCGGGCCCCTCTGCACCGTTACCCACGGCCCCTCCACCCGCAGCACAAGTCTGCACCCACCGCACCTTACCCTCACCTCAGGAAGCAGCTGTAGTCTACTGCAAGTGCAGCCCTGCCCCCCATCCGCTGTTGCTCCAAGCCAGAGCAGGCTGGGGACTCACTTATGAGAGCTCCTGGGTCTCCCAGACCTGCCCATCCAGGGCTGACCTCACACCCATTTTCCTCTGTTCCCACTGACGTTTCCCCATCAAGCAGAGATGCAGAGGGTGAGTGAGGCGGTCTGGGCCAGGGGAGCATCGCTCAAGCTCAATTTCTTCTTTTGTTTGTTTGTGTTTGGGGGCCAGACCCAGTGGTGCTCAGGGTTACTCCTGGCAGTGCTCAGGGCTTACTTCTGGCCCTGCACTTGGGACCACAGGGTGCCGGGGGTTGGAACCCGGGTCAGCCGTGTGCCAGGCCAATGACCTCCCTGCTGTACTATCATTCCAGCCCCTGCAGGCTCAATCTGCAATGTGTTCCTAGGCTAGTTCCTTTAATGCTCCTGCCTCAGTTTCCCCAACTCAAAGGGCTTTTTTTTTTTTTTTTGCATTTCTTGCCTTTTGGGTCATACCCAGCGGTGCTCAGAGACTCTGTACTCAGGGATTACTTCCTGCTGGCGGTGCTCGGTGCTCGTGGAACTCTATGGGACATGGGGGATTGAACCCAGGTGCTTGCAAAGCAAATGCCCTCACTGCTGTACTATCGCTCCAGCCCTGACAAGGGGGGGGGGGGGGCGGGATTTTGGATCATTGTCAGCCTCCTGGAGTTGGCTGAGGAGCTCAGGTGTGGCTGGGACATGGCTGGTCTGCGCACACAGGCAGATGCATGTTTGGGGGCGTGTGGGCTCCATGTGCACACGCTGTGGGCTCCGAGTGTGTGCAGTTTCGTCTGGGCCAGATCCGCGTGGGACGGACTGGCCATGCGGCATAGTCCTCAGCGTGTGGGTGAACCGTGTGTATGTGTGTGTGTGTGTGTGTGTGTGTGTGTGTGTATGGAGTCGAGCACACGTGGCAGGGCTGCGAGGGGCTGGGGGTCCCCAAGGGCTGTGTGGGCCGCGTGGGAATCGGCGCGGGGGCAGGAGCGTGTGCGGAGACAGACGCAGGCCCCCGCCCCCGCTGGCAGCAGTGCCGGCCTGTGTCGTGGGAGCCGCGGGACCCTGCGGGAGGGAGGCCGCTGCTGGCGGATGTGGCCAAGATGGACTGGATTTATTTAGATTACGGCTGTGGGAAAGGGCTGGAGGCTCCCATATGTGCAGGGGGGAGGCTGGGCTCGGAGGGTGACTCCGCGCTGCTCTCTCCCCACCTTCACAGCACCCTCCATCTGGCCCACAGCACTGTCCTCCCGGCGCTGGGGGTGGGGGGGGGACGGGACTCCTGAGGGAACCCCGCCCCCCTCTTCGCTCCTGGTGTGTCCCCAGTTAGGAGCTGATGTGAGTGGGGAGGGGTGCCAGGTTTCTGCCACACCCACGCTGTCCCTAGGGGCTCCGCCCTGTGTTGTCAGAGACAAGGACTCCCCCAAACCTGGCGTCTGGCCTGTCTGTGCTCTGGGAACATCCTAGGACGTCCCTGAGGCCCGGCCAGGCGCAGAGGGAGTCAGGGAGGCATGTCTGGGAGCCTGATCCCTGCCCTCTCACCCCTGCACACCTCCTCCCTGACGTCTACATCCCAGAAAGGGGCCAGGAAATCACCTAAGGCAGAAAAGGAGCTGGGGTGGGGGAACCAGAAGATCGTGCAGGGGTCCAGGGCCTTTTGCGTGCAGCTCACCTGGGTTCAACCCTTGGCACCCTTCTCGTCCCCTGAGCCAGGCTTGATCCCTGAGCACCAGCGGTGTGACTCTAAGACCAAAACCCAATTCAGAGACGGGAAGGACCGTGGCCCACTGTGTGCAATGTTGGACTGGGAGGGGGGTTCGGGGGTTGCTTCTGCTCCTTCTCACCAGCATCTCCTCCCCAAACCCATCAAACTCCCCAAAGACCTCCAGCTGGGCACCTTCTCTCTGGGCACCAACCATCTCTTGCAGCGTCCCTGCCGCTGGACTGTGCGGGGACACCCAGGACCCCCTGCGCGTACTTGGGGCTAGCTCAGACTCTCCGGGGGCCCTTCAGTGGGTCAGTGGGAGCCAGTGGGAGTCAGTGGGTTTCTGCCCTCCAGACTTCCCCCAGCGGCCCAGCAGGGAACCCAGCAGGACAGGAGCCAGACAGGGGGCCCAGCCCACAGCGGTCAGCCTTCCAGAGCCAGGCCGACCTGGGCCCAGTGACCTCCCTCCGCAGCCAGCGGACTGAATTCCTCCCTTAGAATAATAAACAGTGTGGCTGGCCGGGGCCCCTCCCCCAGCCCGGCTGCTAATGATTTTCTTTGGCTGAGATCTCGGGCAGGAAGGGGGGCAGAGGGTTACCCACCAAGGGGCAGCGAGGCCTCTGTGGGGCTGCTGGCTCCACCGTGGCGCTGCCCCCCGCGGGTGGGGGAGGCCTGGCCTCCAGCTGCAAGGGTGGGTTGGGCGGGATGGCGCAGGGGCCGCGCGGCAGAAGGGCTGAGCTGCAGGACAGAAAGGAAGTGAGGCTGATCGGAGCAGCCCGGGAAGTCAGAGACATTGCTCAGAGCGGGGGGCGGGGGGACGGGGAAGGTGATGGGCAGTGCACAGCGGGGTTCCACCTGGCGCCCCCCCCCCCCACAGTCTCACCTAAGTGACCCTACAGGGGCATAAACGTGGCTCCTGGTCTGCATTGGAATGAGAAGGGGTGGGATGTGGCTAGCCCCCCGGTCACGTGGTCACTCTTTAAATTTCTTTCCCTGGGACCCTCCCACTCCCTGCCATCTGCTGCTGCCCTACTGTTGCGGGCCCGCAAGCCGGGGTGGAGCCAGGGGAGGCGGAGCCGAGGCCCATCCATCACGGCCGTCCCTGGCCCCGCTGTCTGCTCACAGTCCGTCAGTCCGTCAGTCGGTCTCTCTCTAGCTCCAGGTCTCGGTCTCATTTGTTGGCAGGAGGAGTGGTCGGGGCATCTCTAGCTGTGCTCAGGTGCGACCCCTGGTGGTCGCCAGGGACCAGCTGCAGGGCGGGTGATTTGGACGGAGGTGTGAGGACATGTCTTGGTCTCTCCGTCTTTGTCTCTGCATCCCTCCATCCCGATCTCTCTCTGTCTCTGTCTCTCTGTCTCTGTCTCTGTCTCTCCCTGTCTCTCTCAAAAAAAAACTGTCCTGGGTTGGTCAAACATCTCTCTCTCTTGCTCTCTCTCTTTCTCTCTGCCTCAGTGTCACCATCTGGGCACTGTGTGTAGGGCGGGGCCTTGGAGCCAGCGGCGCTCCAAGGGGCTCTGGGACACGTGCTCTGAGAGGGCCCCCACATTCCACAGCCTCTCCTCCCCCGCTTCCCTTCCCACAGCTGCCTCCGTTTCCTGTTGAGCCCGTGGAGCTGTGGGGCTTCTCGGGGTCCCGGCTTGCCCCCTCCTCCCCCCAGGCCTTTCATCACACTTGCCCAAATATTTGTCCTGGCAAAGAAGAGTGTTGGGACTGTCACCCAAGGGACAGGCTGCCTGGGCCACATTGTCCCTGACCCATCTCCCACCCGCCTCCCACCCCCAAAGCCCAGACAGAGACGGGGTGGGTGGTGGGTGGGAGGGCTCATCCCTGCCACAGGCAGAGCTAAAGTGGGGCCTTGAGGCTGAGCTGGAGGTAGGAGCCCATCATGTGTGCAGGGGGCTCTGGACAGCCTGTACTGCCCCTGCCCAGCCGAGGCCCTAACTGCCGTGTAACTCTGCAGGACACCATGCGGCCCCCGAGTCCCAGGCCAGCTCCTGTCCTCCTAGGTAAGTAAATTGGGGACAGGGCAGGGGGCCACTGCTGGTCGTGTGTGAGGCTCAGGGGAGGCTGGTCAGCGTGAGCGTGTCAGGGCCCTCACCAACTGTCCACCCATCTCCTCTGTGTACCTGTGTGGCCGCATGCCACGGCTCACCCCAGATGACCTACCCCCGGGGTGGGCCCCTCCTTATTTCCAGAAGGGGAGGGGTGAATGGCTTTCAGGCTCAGTGGGAGGAAATGCCCCAGGGTGAGGGCCCAATCATCTGTGCCCCCTCCCAGCCCCGGTCCCCTGCAGCCCCTGGCCCCTGGCCTCTCTCCTGCCCCGATCTGGGCCCTGGGAAGTCATGCAGGAACCCGAGGCCTGGGAATTGCTTCCCGAGGATTTCCTGCAGCCTCGAGAGAGCGTGCCGGGGGCTGCTGAAGGGCTCTGAGGCGGGGGCAGGCCCTGTGGCCGCTCAGAGCCAGGGGCCCCTGGCTGTGTCCTCAGTGTGGGGGCCCCCCAGCTGCAGGGAGAGCCCCCCCGACTCCGGGTGCTGATGTTGGGACTTCCTCTCCCAGGCCCGATGCTTCTGCTGCTTCTCCTGCTGCTGCCGGCGCCTGCCACCTCCACCCTGCTCATCACACCCCCAGGGCCGGAGCTCGTCCTCAACTTCTCCAGCACCCTGGTCCTGACCTGCGTGGGGTCGGCCCCCGTGGTGTGGGAACGGATGTCCCAAGTGCCGCAGCAGGAAACGGCCCAGACCCAGAACGCCACCTTCTCCAGCCGGCTGACGCTGGCCAACGTCACCGGGCTGGACACGGGAGAATACTTCTGCGTCTCCAAAGGCTCCGGGGGACCAGAGTCGGGGGAGCGCACGCGGCTCTATGTCTTCGTGCCAGGTGTGGACCCTGCTCATCGGCCCTGCTCTAGGCCCCAGTGTCCACACTCTGCGGGGGGCCCTTCACCCCCACACCCACTCTGGAAACCCCGCTGCTGCCCGCAAGTGCCCTCTGCTGATGCCTGGTGCCTGACTCCACCGTCCCTACTCTCCATGCTCTGGACCTCATCTCTCAGCATCCGAGGCTGGAAGGAACCTCAGGGACCCCCACTGTCTGTCTGACAGGGGACCTGGTCGGGACGAGGTCACACTGGCGCCCCTGAACCCTCATTCTCTTCTTTTAAATTTTATTTGTTTATTTATATTTTAATTAATTTCTTTTTTTAAATTGAATCATCGGGGGCTACATAGTTACAAAGTTCTTCATGATTGGGTTATTTTTATCTTATCATTATTTATATTTATTTGATCTTATTGGGTTACTTTTATCTCTTTTTTTTTGTTTTTGGGTCACCCCCAGCAATATACTCGGGGGGGGGTGCTGAAGCGATAACACAGAGGATAGGGCTTTTGCCTTGCACGCGGTCGACCCAGGTTCAATCCCTGGCATCCCATATGGTCCCCTGAGCACTGCCAGGAGTAATTCCTGAGTGTAAAACCAGGAGTAACCCCTGGGCATTACCAAGTGTGACCCAAAAAGCAATAAATAAATAAATAAATAAGTAAGTACTCAGGGGTTGGGCTGGAGTGACAGCACAGTCGGTTGAGCGTTTGCCTTGCACGCAGCCAACATGGCCAACCCAAGTTCGATCGGTCCACCCCTCTCGGAGAGCCCGGCAAGCTACCGAGAGCATCTCACCCGTACGGCAAAGCCTGGGAAGCTACCCGTGATGTATTCGATATGTCAAACACAGTAACACGTCTCACAATGTTACTGGGCCCGCTCGAGCAAATCGATGAACAACGGGAGGACAGTGACAGTGACAGTGATCCCTTTACCTACTTCCAGCACTCAGTTCTTGTCCAGAGCGATCATTTCCAACAATCATTGTCATAGATGTCCCTTCTCTATCCTAACTGTCCTCTGCCTCCCACACACTTGTGGCAAGCTTCCAGTTATGGACCGGTCCTCCTGGCCCTAGTTTTTATCTACTGTCATTGGGTATTAGTCTCATACTCTATTTTTTTTAATGTCCCAAAATGAATGCTATCATTCTATGTCTGTCCCTTTCTTCCTGACTCATTTTACTCAGACTGATACTCTCCATGTTCATCTATTTATAAGCTTATAAGCAAATTTCATGACTTCATGTTTTTCTCTGGTAGCTGCATAGTATTCCATGGTGTTGATATACCATAGTTTTTTTTTTTATCCAATCATCTATTTCCGGGCACTTTGCTTGTTTCCAGATTCTGACCATTGCGAACAGTGCTTCAATAAGCAGAGGAGAGCAGATGGATTTTCTGCTGTGTTTTTGGGCCCCCAGGGTATATTCCCAGATGTGGTATTGCTGACCTGACTCCTCTCCTGACCCTGCCTCCCGCAGATCCCACCGTGGGCTTCCTCCCCGCCACCGCCGAGGAGCTCTTCATCTTCCTCACGGAAGTAACAGAGAATACCACCATTCCGTGCCGGGTGACGGACCCCACGCTGGTAGTGACGCTGCACGAGAAGAAAGTGGACGTGCCGCTGCCTGTCCCTTATGATCACCAACGCGGCTTCACCGGCAGCTTTGAGGACAAGAGCTACATTTGCAAGACCACCATCGGCGACAAGGAGGTGGACTCGGAGCCATACTATGTCTACAGCCTCCAGGGTGAGCCGCGCCCTGGGCTGGTGGGTCACAGAGAGGTAGGCGTGTCCCCTCCCCACAGCTGCAGCCTTTCTGGTCTGCAAAGTTTGCAAGGCCAGAGTTCCCCGGGCTCTCAGGGAGCCCTGCAAAGCAGGGAGCGAGAGGCATGCTCTGGGGGCAAGGGCTGGGGCTGGAGAATGGGGTGGCATTTGCCCCTGCCACCTGGACCCTTAGTGGTGCAGTTGGGCTGTCTAACTGGCGGCATAGCTGGGCCGGCTGGGTTTGTCACCTGCTCTGAGTGACTCCGGACATGGCACATGACCCCTCTGAGTATGCATCTTCCTCTGTCACTTGGGGATAGTCACTGTACACTTCATAGCACTGTTGGGAAGATGAAATAAACCAAAGGTAGTGGAACCCTTTTTCCATGACTGGACACAATAGATTTTTCTCCTGTCCTTCGATACCAGGGGAGAGGAGATGATTCTCCTGTGGTGTTTACAACTGAAGCCCATTCTCGACAGCACAGGCTTTGGCACAGAGTAGCTATTTAGCCACGTTCCAATGAATGAATCAATCATCCACACACCAGAGTGACCCCTTCCCTCTCTGTACCTTCCAACCGCCTACTGAAGCTGAAACGTGCCTTAGTGACTAGGCAGCTGGCAGGCAGCTCCCTGACCCTGTGCCACTGTCTTGCCCCCAGTGTCATCCATCAACGTGTCCGTGAATGCAGTGCAGACCGTGGTCCGCCAGGGCGAGAACATCACCATCATGTGCATTGTGACGGGGAATGAGGTGGTCAACTTTGAGTGGACATATCCCCGTCTGGAGGTAAAGCTGACCCAGAAGCGTGGGGAGGGCTCCGATGGGGAAAGGGGCGGGTGAAGCATTGCAACTTAGGATGGACTTACCTGGGGTTTTGCCTCGTCTGTCCCTGCAGAGTGGACGGGTGGTGGAGCCCGTGACCGACTTCCTCTTCAACACACCCTCCCACATCCGCTCCATCCTCAACATCCCCAACGCTGAGCTGGGAGACTCGGGGACCTACATCTGCAACGTGTCTGAGAGTGTGAACGACCACCGCGATGAAAAGGACGTCAACATCACCGTGGTGGGTAAGTGTCCCAGACATCCCCCAGAGCTGGGGTCCCTGCCCCTTCATGCTTCCGGGGTACTGCACCTGCACAGGTGCCAATCGAAGCCCCAGGGTCGACCCCCAAGCCAACACCATTCCCAACCTCAAACTCCCCGCAAGCCCAGAATCCCAGCAACACCCATAGGAAGCCTCATTCTGGGCTGCTAGATTGTCCACTGCCTCATGATCCACAATGTCCAAGTCCACTGCCCACCATAAACCCTGCCCACTCCCTCCTCAGCACTACCTCTGCTCCAGTCCCAGCCAGAAGTCAACTCAGGGAAGTGCATCTTGGTTCATTCGGGTCAGCAGTTGGCAGAAATGGGGTTCCTAGAACCTCTGGCCACTGCCCTGGTCTAGGACCTCTGCCCCCATCCCCACCCCCTGAGACGCCACCCCATTAGTGGCCAGGCATTTCCCCCCGGCTGATGACCGCCCCTTGCAGAGAGCGGCTACGTGCGGCTGCTGCAGGAGCTGGACACTGTCCAATTCGCCGAGCTGCATCGCAGCCGCAGCCTACAGGTGGTGTTTGAGTCCTACCCACCGCCCACCGTCGTGTGGTTCAAGGACAACCGCACCCTGGGAGACTCCAGCGCCGGCGAGATCGTGCTGTCCACACGCAATGTATCTGAGACCCGGTGAGCATCACTCAGGGCTGCGCACAGGGTCCCTCATTGGACACACCTAGGTCTGCCGCTCCTGAGAGCAACTGTGTGCCAGCACCCTTCGCGCCTGGGGAGTGCCTCCCCCACCCCCCAGCACAGCCAACTTTGGTCCATCTTAGAGGGTCCTGAGTGGGGCGCATGCTGGTCACTGTGGAGCCCAGACTCTCAGTTGTCCTGGTAGTGGGCGGGGCCAGCCGGGGTAGCCTGGAGGGAGAGGAGCAGAAGCCGGCAGGGAGGTCCAGGCTGACTTGAGAGTATATGGATACAGTGGTGTCCGCTCTTCTGAGATGTGCAAGGGGAGGGATGTGATCCCTGCTGCCTGTTGGGGGACTCAGGAGACAGGGTGCTGAGACCTGGCCTGGCCTGACTTTGGAAGCCCCTTCCCCTCCCAGAACCTGCTTTTCTGCCTGTCTGGGTGGAGGGTGTGTGTGTGTGGGGAGAGCATACCAGTGGGGTGACTTCTCTTGACCTGCTCCCCAGGTATGTATCAGAACTGACCTTGGTGCGGGTGAAGGTGGCCGAGGCTGGTCGCTACACCATGCGGGCCTTCCACGAGGACGCAGAGGCCCAGCTGTCTTTTCTGCTGCAGGTGAACGGTGAGGACCCCCTCCCCACAAAACCCTCTCCCATCTCTCCCCTGTCCTAAGGGGCAGACACTGTCTGTGAACTTGGCAGCTCGCCTCTGGGGTCTCAGTTTCCCCAGCTCTGCAAAGAAGCCTGTGGGCTGGGCTGATGTTTCTTTTTATTTTATTTTGTTGCTTTTTAGGGTCACACCCAGTGATGCACAGGGGTTACTCCTGACTCATGCACTCAGGAATCACTCCTGGTGGTGCTTGGGGGACCATATGGGATGCTGGGAATCAAACCCGGGTTGGCCATGTGCAAGGCAAAACGCCCTACCCGCTGTGCTATTGCTCTAGCCCCGAGACTTGGGCTTTAAGGGTGACTGAGATCAAGAATTCTGAGCAGAGGAATGACACGATAATGGCTCATGTTTTCCCAATTGGCATGCTAAAAATACATTTATTTGGAGATGGAATGTAACCTCTGGGTCTTAGATGGAAAGTCCATGTCACGTGCTCTGAAGACAAAGCGTAGACCAGAGGCGACAGCCAGGCTCTGCTCCGGGGAGGCAGGCTGGCCGGCTGTCTCTGAGGAGGGGGACCAGCAGGCCCCCTGGGGCTTCCCTTTGAAGTGCCCAGCAGGGCCTTTCAGGTTCACCTGCAGCCCGCCCCGCCCTGACCCTGCCCTGACTCTCTGACCCGGCCGCCCTCCCTGCCGTGCCCCCCTGCAGTGCCCGTGCGAGTGCTGGAGCTGAGTGAGAGTCACCCAGCCAGCGGGGAGCAGACGGTGCGCTGTCGAGGCCGGGGCATGCCCCAGCCGCACCTGACCTGGTCTACCTGCAGCGACCTCAAGAGGTGAGCAGATGGGGAGAAGACCCTCTCATCCGCCCTTCCTCTGCGCAGCGTGCCCCATCTTCTAGAGCCTGGCTCTTGGGAACGGGCGATGGCCCTCTGCTTCCTAGGGACCCTCACCCAGAGAATTCCACGAAGACGGCGCGTTGAGTGATCCAGCCGACTCAGGCTTAGGGTGGGAGCGCCCCCTGCTGGCCAGGGATGAGCCGGCAGAGGCAACCCGCTCAGAAGCTGATCCTTCTAGGACTCCCCCCACCCCAACTCCTTCCCTCCTGCACCCCCTGAAACTTCCTGCCTGGGGGTCCCAGTTTTCCCACCCGTAAAGCGGAGGAAGTGGAAGCTCATGCGGCCGGCTGCCCCCTCTGCCGGCAGGTGTCCGCGCGAGCTGCCGCCCACGCTGCTGGCCAACCTTTCTGAGGCCGAGAGCCAGCTGGAGACGAATGTGACGTACCAGGCGGAGGAGAAGGAGTTCGAGGTTGTGAGCACCCTGCGCCTGGCCCGCGTGGACCGGCCGCTGGCCGTGCGCTGCACGCTGCGCAATCTGCTGGGCCAGGACATGCAGGAGGTCACGGTGGTGCCACATGGTGAGTCTTCCGGCTGCCACAGCCCTCTGGGGCAGGGGGAGCCACGCCAAGCCGTGCTCAGGGGTTACTCCTGGCTCTGTGCTCAGGCATCATGCCTGGTGGGCTCTTGGCACCGTATGGGATGCCAAGGCTTGAACCTGGGTCTGCTGCGTGCAAGGGAGAAAGCTAGAATGCATGTCTGTGAGCATACAGCTTGTTAGCTTGTCCGTGTAAGTCCTCCGAGTTTGCACACCCCGTTCATCAGCACGCTCCGCCCCCAGACATGCATGTAAGCCCATGCAGCTGCCATGCACCTATGCAGACACAGTGCAGGTCCACAGCCTTGGAGCTGCAGCCCGTGTGTGGTATAACCCCACAACATCCGCTGCTGTGCCGTGCACACTTGCCCACAGGTACTCACACACGCACAAAAATGATTATTTTTAAATTTTGATTTATTCCCCCCCCCCCCATCTGGATCTTCTTGCTTTATCCTGAAATCTAGGGATGTGTGTGTAGCAAGCTCCATATGTAATAACGGCAGCAATTGGAAAGGAAGAGAGTTGTTACTGTGTGAAATAGATTGTAGAGAAAAACTTTTAGCAGGGTTCATTAAACAGATAATTGTAAGAATACAAATAGTATTTAGAATGTTGCTCAGTGCCTGTAGATATTTTAATTCTGCTTCATATAAAAGTACTTACTTTTGGGCCACACCCAGTAGTTCTTGGCTCTGGGCTCGAATTGCTCTTGGCGGTGCTTGGGGAACCATATGGGATGCCGGGGATTGAACCCTATCCACTGTACTGTCACTCTGGCCCCAAAAATAATGTATTTTTTTTAGATTTTATTTTATTTTTACAAAGTAGTTTACAATGGGTTGGAGCGATAGCACAGCGGGTAGGGCGTTTGCCTTGCATGCAGCCGACCCGGGTTCAATTCCTCCACCCCTCTCAGAGAGCCCAGGAAGCTACCAAGAGTATCCTGCCTATATGGCAAAGCCTGGCAAGCTACCCGTGACGTATTCAATATGCCAAAAACAGTAACAACAAGTCTCACAATGGAGACGTTACTGGTGCCCTTTTGAGCAAATCGATGAACAACAGGAGGACAGTGCTACAGTGCTACAGATTTGTTTGGGGGCCCGACCTGGCAATGCTCAGGGCTTGTTCCTGGCTCTGCACTCTGGGATCACTCCTGGGGGTGCTCTGGGGCCACACGTGGTATCAGGGATGCCAACCTGGCTCAGCTGCATGCATGGCAAGCACCCTGCCCACTGGACTGTCTCTCTGCCCACACCTGCAGAATTATTGTCCAGATAAGACCCTATCAGTGCCAGGATGATTTTGCTCCCTGCCAGCTCTTGCTGGCATACCTAAGCCCATACTCATATGTCTTCTCCCCTAATGGTCAGTTCTCCCTGGAGACAGCGAGATGGCAGAGGCCTGGCCCGGCCCTCTGCTTGTGCCACAGCCCAGAGAGGTGGGCCAGGAACTGGCAGGAACTGGGCAACCTCTTCCTGGGAATCAGCACAATGGGGTCAACCTGGAGGGAAGAGCGTCTCTGTTGTCTAGCTGTAGGATTTAGACAAATTTATTTATTTATTTTGGCTTTTTGGGTCACATCTAGCATTGCACAGGGGTCACTTCTGGCTCATGCACTCAGGAATTACTCCTGGTGGTGCTCGGGGGACCATATGGGATGCTGGGAATTGAACCCGGGTCAGCCACGTGCAAGACAATCACCCTACTGGCTGTACTATCGCTCCAGCCCCCAGACAAATAATCTTGAAAGACAGAACACTTGATGCCAAAACCTTGGTGGTCACTAGCCCCTATCCTGGTAAGGAAGCATGCTCCAGCCAGAGCCTAGGGCCTAATGCATGGGCCCAGATGCAGAGTAGGCTGGGTAAAGGAGTTCTGTCTGGAGGGTGCCGAGTACCAGGTGTGGGTGCAAAGCAGGCTGCAAGGTGAAACGGTAGGGCTGTGGGGGCTTTTGTGTGTCTTGTGTGTGGGAGGGCAGGCCCTGGGCTGGCACATGCAGGTATCTCTGTGCACTAAGAGCTGCATAGCTTGGCACCCTCCCTAACCCCTCCCCCCCCCACACACACTCAGGCAGGCACCTGCACTGCAGATCAGCCTGCTGCCCGGGTGCTCCTTGTCCCCAGTTCCCGGGATGCATCTGATCTGTCATCTCTCCCCAGGCCCCTCCGGGCTCTCAGACACTGGATGGAGAAGGGGTGGGCTTCGTGTGATCGGAGGGGCTCCAGTCCGGGGCACTCCATCAGGCAGAGCCCGCAAGGGCCCCGTGGGGTGGTGAGGGCAGGGGAGAGGCTGGACTGCTGTGGCCATGGTCTTGCTAGGCCACAGTTGTGCTCACAGCAGGTGCATTCCCCCAGGACTGGGCATGAGCAGACGGAGAGCAAGCTGGGGTCATTCCTGGGGAGGGGAGGGGGCGTGGGCCTTTGTGGGAGAGGCTGAAGGTCCATACCACAGTGCGGGTGGAAGTATGGGTTCTGTCCTGCCAGAGAAGGGGTGAGGTGTGGGCAGTGGCCGGGCGCCGTGTCTGCCCAGCTAGTCAGCTCTCATCTCTGCCCGCAGCTCTGCCCTTCAAGGTGGTTGTGATCTCAGCCATCCTGGCCTTGGTGGTCCTCACGGTCGTCTCCCTCATCATCCTCATCATGCTCTGGCAGAAGGTGAGTGCCCCACCACCGTGCTTCCTCTGCCCTGTGCCCCACTATCTTCTGATACCCTGGACACAGCCCATCAGTGTAGTGCCCCTGGCAGATGTGGGGGCTGGGAGGCCCCAGAGGCGGAGCCCACTTGGACTCTGGGACTCCCTGCCTCTCCTCTGCCCCCTCCCCCCGCCCCCCGCTCAGATCTCAGCCTGCCTGTCCCAACACTGAACCTCACACAGGCATGGAAGTGGGGTGCTTCCGACTCCCAGGGCTGTGCCCAAATGCATTATTGTCTGTGTTCACACACTGTGGCTTGCATGCTTCTCCGAGACATCACCAACATCCTCTCTGATGCACACAGTTGAAGATTCTGGAGTTAGCACTGCCCAGCCCGCACCCCGATTCTCTCATTTTAGCGCCCCAGCCGTGTGATTCCAAACTCCCTGATTTGCACATCCCAAAGGGAGAACGTTCTGATAGCTGCTCAGGTGCATCGAGCTGAAGTGGGTGCAGCCCTGGGGCAGCCCCCAGGCCCTGGACTTTCTGGGGCTGCCCTGTGTGCAGAGCCGCTGGAACATTGTTGGGGGTTTCTGAAAGCTGCCCCTCCCTGCATGGCATCAGACACCTTACATACACCACAGCTGCCCCTGTGGTCAACAGACCCTGCACATACAACGCAGCTCCTCCCGGCTTCTCCTGCCCTGGCCATTCCGTAAGGGCTGGACTGAGGAGCTGAGGCCCAGAGCCCCTCTGAGGGTCCCTTCCGGTCTGGGCCCCACAGAAGCCGCGCTACGAGATCCGCTGGAAGGTGATTGAGTCCGTGAGCTCCGACGGCCATGAGTACATCTACGTGGACCCCATGCAGCTGCCTTACGACTCAACCTGGGAGCTGCCAAGGGACCAGCTTGTGCTGGGTGAGGCCAGCGAGGGTCTCTGGGGGTGGGCAGGCAGGGAGACCCTGAGGTCTGGCCCCAGCTTTGCCATCTCTAGTTTTGAGACCAGGGGCCTTGTCCTACCCTCAGTCTCCTCCTCTGTACCATGGGGACCAGGACCACCCAGCACCAAGGTCCCGTATCCGGTGACCACAGAGGGTGGGGAGGGGGGAACAAACTGTGCTGGTTGCAGTGGGGACCCCGCGGGGACAGCAAAGCCCTGAGATGGGGCTGGTAGGCTGAGGAGAACAGTCCCACAGGACAGGTAAGGAACCCCCTTGGGCAGCTAGGGTGACCCCGGAGAAGCGGGGGCTGCAGCCTCCTGGGAGGCCAGGAGCTGAGGGGATCTTTCCGCAGGACGCACCCTGGGCTCTGGCGCCTTCGGGCAGGTGGTGGAGGCCACAGCTCACGGCCTGAGTCACTCGCAGGCCACCATGAAAGTGGCCGTCAAGATGCTGAAATGTAAGTGGAGGAGCCTCCCCCAGGATGGGCACCTCTGACCCCAGCGGGCCCCCTCCTGGGCTTCTGGGGGCAGCAGGCCTTCTAGGCTGCCATCCCGAGCCCCCGCCCTCCCCCAGGTGGGGGTGTCCGGAATGGGCTCTGGGGGGCCCTCTGGCCTGGAGAGCCGACTCTGAAGGCACTCCATCCGCAGCCACCGCGCGCAGCAGCGAGAAGCAGGCACTTATGTCAGAGCTGAAGATCATGAGTCACCTGGGGCCGCACCTGAACGTGGTCAACCTGCTGGGAGCCTGCACCAAAGGAGGTAGCCAGCCCCACTGGGAGTGTGGGGGTGGGGGATCACCCCTCCCTGCAGATACCTGCCCTTCCCGCCCTACCCTGCAGACACGTGCCCCTCCTGCCCCTCCCTGCAGACACCTGCCCCCTTCCATCCCCACCCTGCAGTCATCTGCTCCCTCCCACCCCCACCCTGCAGATACCCCCCTCCCACTCCCACCATGCAGAGAGCTGACCCCTCCCACCCCCACTCTGCAGACACCTACCCTCTCCAGTCCCCACTCTGTGGACAACCACCCCTCCCACCCCCAGATATCTTTCCCTTTCTGCCTCCACCCTACTCCTATCCCCTCCAGACCCAGCCTACAGACTCCTGCCCCCACCCTTCAGACTCTTTCCCCCACCCTGCAGATACCTGACCCCTCCTGCCTCCACCCCCAGACACCTGCCTTTTCCCACCTCCATCCCCCAGACATCTTCCCCTTCCCACCTCCACCCTGCAGGCACCTTCCCCTCTCTCCTCCCCCTTCTTTGCTCTTCCTCATCCTCTCCTTAGTTCATGCACAGCATGATCCTCGGGCAGGGCACCGCAGGCCCCCACACTGTCCCATTCCTCCCCTCCAGGCCCAGGTGGGCAGGGCATTGCAGACTCAGGAACTCAGATCCCTCTGTGCTCACCCATCCCCACACTTTCCAAATCAAGGTTGTCTTTGACACAGAGGCTCACAACACATTTTAAAACTGGCTCATAGGACCCCAGGATGCATCCTTACCCCCTCTCCGCCCCCCACACACATATAAGCTGGGCACCGCTGTCATTCTGGCAAGAGTGTCCCCAGCATGGTGCTTGTTTGAAGCTCTGTGACAAGTTAGGGCATTGCCTTTTATAGCTGGGATTGTGCGATTTGGGAATTTCTTCAGAGTCTTGCAACAGAAACGAAACAAAATACAGAAGTGTGCGCATCTCGGAGCCCACTTGTGGCCGTGGCCAACCCCCATTCTGAAACATCTGTGCTCCCCTTCCCTGCCTGGCTTCAAGCCTGCCATTAAGTAAATTTGCATTTGAGTTTCAACAGGTACCCAAGGAAAGAGCTGTTTGTTTGTATTGATTTGGGGGCCACAGCTAGCAGAGCTCAGGGTTTACCTGCCCAGGATGGGGACGAACCGGGGGCTCTTACACGCAGACGCAGCCTGGCCAACGCTGCCCAGTCCCCAGACCGGCCGTGACCGTCCTCGTGGTGGCTCCCACGAGCCCCAGGAACAGAGGAGGACCAGGGGCAGGGCTGAAGCCCAGTGGGCCCTGGCCTCTCCCTGCCCCGTCCTGAGCCTGTCCCTCTGCAGGGCCCATCTACATCATCACCGAGTACTGCCGCTACGGGGACCTGGTGGATTACCTGCACCGTAACAAGCACACCTTCCTGCAGCTCCGCTCTGACAAGCGGCCCTCGCTCAGCAGCCAGCTCTACACCAATGCCCTGCCCAGGTACCGGCCTCAATGACCCCAGGGTCCTCTCTCCCTCTCCCTCACTGCTTCCTCTCTCTCCCTCCCTCCCTCTCTCTCCTATCTCTCCCTCTCCACCCCTCTCTCCTTACCTCTCACTCTCTCCCTTGTTGCTTTCTCCCTCTCTTTCTTTTTTCTCGCTGGTCCCCACCCCCCTCCCCTTTTCCCTCCCTCTCTTTCTCAAAGGCACGGGGACACACCTGTCCCCAGTGCCCTGCCCTGTGCACCGTAAATGGGCTGGGCTGAGCTGAGGACATACCCTGGGCAGTAGGGTCCTGTTGGCATCCCTAGCCTGACTTAGAGCTGAGGGGTAGAAGGGTTCCCTGTCCTTCCCTCACTCTGCCAGACAGGTAGCAGGAGGATGATGAGAGAGGAAATGGGGGCCTTGGGGGTTGAGGAGCAGGGCTGGGGGGAAGGGGAGGGGAGGGGAGTGGGCAGAAGGGGAGGGGAGGGTAGAGAAGGGAAAGGGAGGGGAGGAGAAGGGAGGGGAGAAAAGGGGAGGAGAAAGGAGGGAAGGGGAGGGGAGGGAAGGGAGGAGAGGCATATAGTCTGCCCTCCCACAGCCCCGTGTCCCTGCCTGGGGAGAGTGATGGGGGCTACATGGACATGAGCAAGGACGAGTCGGTGGACTACGTGCCCATGCTGGACATGAAAGGGGACGTCAGATATGCCGACATCGAGTCCTCCCCCTACCTGGCGCCTTACGACAACTACGTCCCCTCCGGTGGGTGCCCGGCCTGGCTGCAGCCCCTGTCACAGACAGCCTGAGGCTCGCTGCCCTCCAGAGGGCCCTGTGAGCCTGGGTCTGGGTGAGGGCGCACGCCTGCAGTGGCTGGCATGGGGCTGGGGAAGCTGGTCTGTGAGACTGGCCCCGGGGCCAAGCAGAGGGGCCCCAGGGCATTGCCACTGGGCTCGTGGCCTTTGGGGGTCAGGGACCAGGAGGGTGGGTGTGAAGGTCACCCCTGTCAGGGACGCTGGGCTCCGTGAGCAGAAGAGCAGGATGGCACCACGCGAGGGGGACAGTGAGCAGCGGGCACTTCCTGCTTCTCTCCCAGCTCCCGAGAGGACCTACCGGGCCACCTTGATCAACGACTCCCCCATGCTCAGCTACACAGACCTCGTGGGCTTCAGCTACCAGGTGGCCAATGGCATGGAGTTCCTGGCCTCCAAGAACGTGAGTGAAGCCACAGTGGGGGCAGGGGACAGGACCCTCAGAACATGATGCATTGTTGGAGGAACAACCCTCTGGTGGGAGGACAGGGAGTGTGCACAAGCCCTGGCTCTCTGACCCTGTGTCCTCTGACCCGCGTGGACTCTGACCCTGTGCCCTTTGACCCACGTGCACTCTTTATTTTTTTGGTGTTACTATTTTTTTTTTAATTTTTATTAGTGAGACATCATGAGGTACAGTTGTAGACTTACAAATTTTTGTGCTTGGTTTTCAGTTATACAATGATCAAATACCCATCCCTCCACCAGTGCCCATTTCCCACCACCATGGATCCCAGTATCCCTCCCATCCCCCCATCCCCCCCAATCCCACCCTGCCTCTGTGACCCATGTGTACTCTGACCCACGTGCACTCTGACCCTGTGCATTCTGACCTGGTCCCCTCTAACCCTCGTGCCCGCTGACCATGCGCCCTCTGACCCACATACACTCTGACCCTATGCCCTCTGACCCACGTGTCCTCTGACCTATGCTTCCTCTCACCTGTGTGCCCGCTCACCTGTCCCCTCACCTGAGTCCCTCTCACCTGGGCCATTGCCCTTCCCTCTGAGTCCTTGGCAGGGAGGCTCTTTCCCTCACACTGAACCCCAGTCTGAGCCTGTGTCTCCCCTGCCCAGTGTGTCCACCGAGATCTGGCAGCGAGGAACGTGCTCATCTGCGAGGGCAAGCTGGTGAAGATCTGTGACTTCGGCCTGGCCCGAGACATCATGCGAGACTCCAACTACATCTCCAAAGGCAGCGTGAGTGCCTCCTGGCCTGGGCACAGCGCCTCCTGCTCAGCCGGGTCCAGGGCGGATGGAGAGCGGACAGGACACAGGGGTCATTTCGGGGGGGTGGGGGCACCGAGGGACACGGAGGAGGAGGTGGTAGGCATGGTGGGGTTAGCCTGCGACCATTCTGTAGAGCCCCATTTGATTCCACAGTTCTTTTTTTTGGCATATCCCCCGAAGTGTAAAAGTATTAATTCAATTGTTCAGCACCAAGTACAGTAGCCAGGTAGTGCGATTGCACTGTGGGGGAAGGGGGCTGGGTATACCTCGGTATACCCTTAGCACCCCAGATAGAAACAAGTCAAGTGGGAAGTGAATGAGTGTAGAAGTTGTGATGTCCACACAGTGAGACACGACTCCAAATACTAGAAAACACTGAAATCTTGCAGTCTGCGCAACTTGAGTGGAATTGGAGGGAGCCATGTTAAGCACCCCCAGGAAATGGTCCAGGGGAGGAAAGATCCTGCTGCCCTCACTCCTCTGTGGTGTGAGCGCAACAGAGTAAGAGAGTAGATAGAACTGACGGTGACGAACCCTTGGACTAGAGCTGAGAGCAAGCAGTCCCACACGGATGGGCACTTTGGGCAGGGGTAGGGGTGGAGTCAGTGCACGTCAGAGCCATACTACCTAGACTACAATAACCTATTAATTACGGTTTAGGGCTGGGGTATTTTTATCTATTTATTTATTTATTTATTTTGCTTTTTTGGGTCACACCCAACGATGCTCAGGGGTTACTCCTGGTTCATTCAATCAGGAATTACTCCTGGCAGTGCTCGGGGGACCATATGGGATGCTGGGAATCGAACCTGGGTCGGCCACATGCAAGGCAAATGCCCTACCTGCTATGCTATTGCTCCAGCCCTGGGCTGGGGTATTTTTGTTTGTTTTGTTTTGTTTAGTTTTTGGGACACATCCAGTGCTGCTCAGGGCTTAATCCTGGCTCTAGAGTGCCAGGGATCAAACCTGGGTCAGCGCCCACCCTTTGTACTGTCTGTCTCTCTAGCCCCTACTTAAAACAACAAAATGACCATGGGGCTGGAGAGATGGGACAGTGGGTAGACACTTTTCTTGAGTGTGAGTTGTGGGGCCAGGGCGATAGCACAACGGGGAGGGCAAGCGCATTGCATGTGGGGAACCCAGGTACAATCCCTGGAGACTCACATGGCTCCCCTGAGCATCACCAGGAGTGACCCCTGGCAGAGTCAGGAATAAGCCCTGAGCACCACCAAGTGTTTCCCCCCCCCCGCCAAAAAAAATAACAAGCAAAACAAAACAAGAATAGCTACCCTGCTTCTTACTCATTTCTCCACCTTTCTCCAGAGCGCGTGAGCCCAGAGTGGGGTGGCACCCTGGCCTGTCCCTGACTCTGTCCCCTCTCCCCTGGCACCTTTTCCCATCGTGGGGGGCTGCTGTGCCCCCAGCCCGTGGGAGAGGAACCACCTTCTGCTCCCCGAGCGTGTTCTGTGCTGGATGGGGAGGGAGTGCCCGACCCCCCAGCACGGCCCTGTGCTCCGCAGACCTTCCTGCCTCTCAAGTGGATGGCGCCCGAGAGCATCTTCAACAGCCTCTACACCACCCTGAGTGACGTGTGGTCCTTTGGGATTCTGCTCTGGGAGATCTTCACGCTGGGTATGCCGCCTCTCCGGGGCTGTCTGCTTGCCCGGTGCCCTCCCTGGCCCTTATTCCCTCTCACCGGAACAGGGTGGGCGGGGCCTCCATGCATGGACACTGGACAGAACACTTGGCTTCGGCGTTCTCCGGGGAATGTCCGGGCCCAGGAGGGAGCCTGTAGGATGTGGTGTCCAGAGCTGGGCAGCCGCTCAGATACAGTCCAGCCCCTGGAGCCTGGCGTCTCTCATCTGCTCCCATCAGGTGGCACACCTTACCCGGAGTTGCCAATGAACGAGCAGTTCTACAATGCCATCAAGCGGGGCTACCGCATGGCCCAGCCTGCGCACGCCTCCGATGAGATGTGAGTGGACCTCGGACCTGGGACAAGCGGTCACTCTGGCCAGGGCCAGTGAGCGGGAGGAACTCAGAGAGGGGGAAGGTCTGGGTGAACCTCCCCGCCACTGACCCCACCGCTGGCACTATCTGCAGCTGCCTCCTCTCTGCCCCCATCGGCCTTGCAGTCGGAACTGACCATTAGGGACTTGACTGGGGCCCAGGCCAGCCCCGGGCACGCCTGCAGGTGGTGACCTCAGCTGGGCTCACTGCGCACTGCAGGCGGGGGGTGGTGGGGCAGAGTGGGTGGGGAGATGTTCTCCAGGGGTGGGGGGGTGTCAGGGAAGAGCTCACCTGTCCACCCCTCCCTCCTAGCATCTAGCATCACTCTTCCTGTTCTAGAAGTTTCCTCTTCCAGCTGCCCACCCTCCCCTCTTGACACCCCCCCCCCCCCCGTGCCCCTCTCCAGCTATGAGATCATGCAGAAGTGCTGGGAAGAGAAGTTTGAGATCCGGCCCCCCTTCTCACAGCTGGTGCTCCTGCTTGAGCGGCTCCTGGGCGAGGGCTATAAGAAGGTAGGTGGGCCAGGGAGGGCGGGGCGAGTGTGCTGTGCCTGCTGGAGGCTTCGTCCTACACTGTAGGGTCCAGCTGGGAGTGGCTGCTGATTGCCACCGGTTGTGGCCCCGAACCGAACAGAAACAGGAAGTACATGGACAGTCCCTTAGACACTGAGGCCCCGGGGATTGGGCCGTGCTAGGATTTGGGTCCTACTTTGGCCTGTCTGGGCTTGGGTCTTCCTGACAGCCCAGGTAAGAAGGCCCTGAAGTCAGAGTCAGCAGCACAGAGACCTGGAAGGAAACCCGGGGTGGGGGTGCGGGGGGGGGGGGTTGGACTGGAGGGTCAGCTGTGCACTGGGACAGGAGGCGGGGAGGGACAGCGTCTCTGAGCCAAGGGCGGGTGGGGTGTGGCGGATGTGCCCTGGCTGAGGGTCCCCATGTGCAGACTCCACATGGGCGAGCCAGTGGTGGGAGGGAGGTGACCCAGCCCCCCCCCCCCACCATGCTGCTCATGCCAGGGACCAGGACAGGAAGGCCAGCTGCCCCCACTGTGCAGCAAGGGAAACTGAGGCCAATCAAAGGGGCCGGGGCAGGATGAGAGGCCACACCACTCTCAAGTGGGGGTAACTTTTGTGCTTGTGGGGTGCTTGCGACGTCCTCTCCTTGTCTGTCTGCGTGAGGCAGGGCCCGGGCTTGCCCACCCCCCCCGTGCCTGGGCCCCCAGCTGGCTGCTCCCACAGTTTTGAGCGTCTGCTGTCGCCTCTCCCTGCAGAAGTACCAGCAGGTGGATGAGGAGTTCCTGAGAAGCGACCACCCAGCTGTCCTTCGCTCCCAAGCCCGCCTGCCCGGCTTCCACGGCTCCCGCTCCCCCCTGGGCACCAGCTCTGTGCTTTACACGGCCGTGCAGCCCAACACAGGCGACAGCGACTACATCATCCCGCTGCCCGACCCCAAGCCTGAGGTCGCTGAAGAGGGGCCCCTGGAGGGCTCCCCCAGCCTTGCCAGGTAGATGTCATGCAGTAGAGCGTGTGTGCGTATGATGTGTGTGTGTGTGTGGTATGCATACAATGTGTGCATGCTCTATGTGCATGTATGTGGTGTGTGCATATGATGTGTGTGTTCCATGTGTGTGTGCATATGATACATACATGCTGTGTACATGTGTGTGGTGAGTGCATGTAATGTGTGCATGTTATGTGCATGTGTGTGGTATGTGCATACGATGTGTACATGCTGTGTATGTGGTGTGTGCATATGATGTGTACGTGCTGGGTGTGTGCACATGATGTGTGCATAATGCGTGTATGTGTGTGGTGTGTGAACATGATATGTGTGATGTTTACATGATGTGTATGTGCTGAGTGGTGTGTGTGCATAGCATGTGCACATATGTGGGTGATGTGTACGTTTGTGTGTGTGTGTGTGTGTGTGTGTGTGTGCCTGTAAGCCTGAGCAGTGAGCTTCCAGGATGAGAGCACATTCCTGCATGAGCAGAAGAGCGACCAGCCCCCTGCTGACTCCTGATGGCCGGGGTTCTGTTTGTCCTTTCCCCTAGAGAAGTCTCCAGAGGCCATTTCCTCTCTTCCCTCCCCACCCCAGCTCGAAGGAGAGGATGGTTCCCACCAGTCCCGGTTCCCCACTTGCTAGAGGGGAGCCCTCCCCTCGAAGCTCCGCCTGGGCCACGGAAGGCAGTCTCGACTGTGGGGGGCAGATAGTCCTGCAGGGCCGGATCCAGCTGTAAGGAGCCGGGACAGTGGGAGGCCCTTGGGTGGACACTGGCGTCCACTCCCCTGCCACACGCTGGGCACTCTGTGCTCAACACCCAACGCTAGCGACTGTGACTGCATCATTCTGCTGCCTGGCCCAAGCCTGAGGCCATCTTACAATGGAGTCAGGCTGCTGCCCGGCCTGAAGGTCACACACTGGGCCAGCCCTACTCCCCAGACACGCCAGGGGTGAGGTGTGCAAGGAGGCCCAGACTGGGCTCGGCCTGATCTCTGTGCCCAGCAGCTGTGCCATCCATTCCCCACTGTCTCTGGGCCTCAGTTTCCCCGTGTGTGCCACCAGCAGCCAATCGACTTTCTAAGGTCTGAAAGCCCAGGTGGCAGGTGTTGGCGGGGCGCGGCCTCAGATCTGCAGGCCTCTGTCTGTCTCTGTCTGTCTCTGTCTGTCTCTCTGTCTCTCTGTCTCTCTGTCTCTGTGTCTTTCTGTCTCTTTGTCTCTCTGTCTCTTTGTCTCTCTGTCTCTGTCTCTCTCCGTCTCTCTGTCTCTCTCTGTGTCTCTCTGTCTCTCTGTGTCTCTCTGTCTCTCTCTGCTGGGAGCCCCCAGGCATCTGCTGAGTGCAGGTTTCGCAGGCAGGAGCGGCATGTGCTTTCAGGTCCAGAGTAGGTCCAGAGTAGGTCCAGAGTAGGCTAGCCTGCGGGGTGCTCCGGGCAGTGGCGGGCTGCGCGCTGGCCCTTCCTGGGGTGCCTGCCTGACGAGAGTGCCAGGAGCATGGTGCAGCTCCACGGGGATGCCCCCCCACCCCGGTTCATCACTGCCCAGGCCCTCACTCTCGCCTCTTCCGTCCTAGCTCCACCCTGAACGAAGTGAATACGTCCTCGACCATTTCCTGTGATAGCCCCCTGGAGCCCCAGGAGGAGCCGGAAGCAGACCCCCAGCCTCAAGGAGAGCCCCAGGCCCAGCCGGAGCGGCAGCCGGAGGCCAGCTGTCCCGCTTGGCAGGCCGAGGGGGAGGACAGCTTCCTGTAGGGGCTGGCCCCTCCCCTCCCTCCAGCAGCTCCCCTCTACCTCCCAGCACCTCCTGGCCCGGCCTGGCTGGCACCCACCAGCTCTCCCCGTCCTGGGAAGTCCCAGTCGTGTCACTCCCCAATTCCTGGGGTGGACTTTGGCGGTAATAGAACCGCCGGGGCCATCAGCAGCCTTCTGCCTCTGGAGAGACTTCGTGACTCCGAGCCAGGGTTCTCCTGGGACTCAGTTTGCCCATCTGTAAGATGGGGACGTTGGGATTCTCTGCCTCATTGATGGATTTGAGTCCTGGGAAGATGCGGGACGGAGGTTGGGGAGTTGGGATGGAGCCCTCTTCTGTTCAGCTGGCTACTCCTCAGAGGACTGCAGCTCTTCCTCGCACTTTCAGCTTCCTGGGAGCTGGAAAGGCTCTTAGCCACAGTTGGCCGTGGAGCCGGGGCCCGACAGTGTCTTCTTTCCCAGCAGTCGCGCCCCCTGGATTCCTGTCTCCGCTTTCTCAGCCCAGGCTGGTCTGGGACCTCCCTGCTGACCTCCGCAGGCAACTGAACAAGCATACAGCTCCAGCTTCCAGCCACGGGCCACAGGTGCTTGGGCTGGGCCTTGCCTGATAAGTGCCTGCGACCATACCTGCAGTGCGAGGCCACTTTCCTCATCACTGCGAGTCTCACACCCCTGCCAGGAGTGCCAGGATTTGCTGACACACTTTCACGAAGTGTCCACTGGGGTGGGCGATGCGTGCCACGGCGCCCCCGAGAGGCTCACCTCAGCGGTGCCAGAACCTCACGCCTACTCTGGACCCATCTTGTTGAAAAACAAGTGGTCTGAACTTCACTGACTGCCAGTGCCCTGTCAGCACTAACGTTCCAGAATTTTCCAGACGATGTACATTTGCTTACATGACCAAACACTCCAAACCCCGTTCAGGGTGGGGTGTGTGTGAGTGTGTATGTGTGTTTGTGTGTGTATGGTGTGTGTCAGTGGGCATCTGGAAAGACGCCAGGCCACGAGGCACACCCCGGCCCTTCGGGAACTGCACCACTTCCCCAGCCACTGCATGAGTCCCGGCGCACCAGGCTCTGATGTGAAGTCACAACCCACGTCCTAGAAAGCCCCCACAGCTGCCCCTGGGTCTCAGAGACACAGACCCCTCGTCACCCACAGTGACCTTTCGCTTTCCTGGGCCGAGGAAGTGGCCTGTTCTGAGTGGATAGCTGCTCGCAGCCCAGCTGGTCCCGCTGGCCATCGGATCTGTGCCACAGACCCCTCAGGTAGTGGGGGTCCCCCTAAAGGACGTGAAACCATGGATGGGCAGCCAGAGAACAGACGTGGACTCTGGAGGTAGACTTCCAGGGCCCCTTCCTCACTGGCCAGGCCTGCTCACCTCACTGTCTCAGCTGGCGGCAGCCCAGTCCAGTGGACAAAGGAGATGCCAGGCCAGGGACGGTGGCCCCAACCCTGGCGGGACACTGTGCTGGGGGCCACCAGCCTGACTGGGGCTCGCACCGGAGGGCAGGGGGCTCACTGAGGTACCAAAGATGTAATCTAGATTTCCCAGCATTTTAGGGCCATATTAACTCGACTGTATACAACCTTCATACTGTTTTATGTGCTGTCATAGTTCCTGTATGTATACTTTTCTAAGGGAGAAAGATTTTAATATTAAACATGGTGCTTACCATTCATGACTTGGTGGTCTCTTGGAGCGGAGGCTTGGCCTCACCCCAACCACCATGTCTCCATATGAGCCCCTTCGGCCCTGAATCTCTTCTCCCTGTGTAAAAAGGGGCTATGGGGATGGAGCGGCGCTTGCCTTGCACACAGCTGACCCGGGTTCGATTCCTCTGCCCCTCTCAGAGAGACCGTCAAGTTACTGAGAGTATCCCGCCCACATGGCATAGCCTGGCAAGCTACCCATGACGTATTCAATATGCCAAAAACAGTAACAACAAGTCTCACAATGAAGACGTTACTGGTGCCCGCTCAAGCAAATTGATGAACAGCGTGATGACAGTGTTACAGTGCTATGGGGCTGTAGCAATAGCACAGTGGGTAGGGCATTTGCCTTGCATGTGGCTGACCCGGGTTCGATTCCCAGCATCCCATATGGTCCCCTGAGTACCTCCAGGAGTAATTCCTGAGTGCATGAGCCAGGAGTAACCCCTTTGCATGGCCGGGTGTGACCCAGAAAGAAAAAAAAGGGGGTGACACATGCACCCACATACACACATTCACACACATGTGTGCATGTGCACACACAAATGAGCATGCACACACACACACACACACACGCACACATGCACACACCTTGTTGGTGTCTGGGCTTCCTGGATCAGAGCTTTGACCGTCCAGTTGTGAAAGAAGGAATTGCCTCCAGCTCAGCTGACTGGGGCCAGGCACGGCCTTCCCAGGAGCTGAGCCCGCCTGACCCCCACCTTATCCCAGCATGTGCTTTGGCTTTGACTATTAAGCTGGGACACTGGCCTCTCCCAGGTCCCTCTGGGAGGCAGACAGAGGCTGGCATGGCTGATGAGAGGGTTCCAGATGCAGCCCTGGGTCGGTGAGTCATTGTGGGGCTCAGAAGAAGGGAACACGGTGGAGGAGGTGTGATGAGAGAGAAGAGGCAGAAGGGGCCACCCGCTGGGGTTCTGAGAGTGTCTCAGCAAACTGGACACAGCCAGATGGGCTTGGCGGAGTCCAGGCTTCTCAGAGGTGTGGTGCTGGCATGAGCCATGGCCCTGGTGCCCGCCAACTGATTCTGTACTATCTGTGGTAGTATCCTTGCCCAGCTCGGTTCTAGACCCTGGCAACAGCAGGGAGCACAGGCCTCTGGGGCAGAGAACAGACAGTGAAGTACGATGCTTCAGGTTGGGGCCTTCACCCCTCCCCGGGCCCTTTAGGAGCCCCCTGAGTTACAAGCAAGTTGCGTTCGGCCCAAGACCTGAAGTTCCTTTTCACCAATTTTCTTTCAGGGTTGGGGCATTGGTGGGGGGCCTGGGCATACTAGTGATGCTCAGAGATTCCTCCTCAGGAGTCACTCCTGGCAGTGCTCAGGGGACTGTCTGTGCTGCTGGAGATGAACCCAGGTGGGACACACGCAAGGCAAGTGCCCGACCCACTGTGTTCTGCTCTGTCACGGGGTCGGCTTGCCCAAAGCTGGAGAGGAGGCGTCTCGGTAAGTTCCTGGGGTCGGGCACCTCATTTTGGACTTCCCTAAGACTGTCCCAAGTATTTTCTACTGCTGGCAGGGTGAGGACGAAAGTGGAGGTTCACTCTGCCTCACAGGAGAAGTCCACCATGGCCTGGCGACACACGGCCCGCCTGCCTGGGGTCCCCGTTGTAGAGAAGGCCCAGCAGCAGCGTGACCCCTTCTTTCCAGACTGTGGGGCATGAATCAGCCCAGGCACAGCTCTGCTCTGTCAAGAACAACTCCACATTCCAAGCAGGGATTTTCCCAGCTCAAGAGAAAAATTAGCCTCATCTGACGTGTCAGGAGACTCAGCTCCCTCTGCCTCAGGCTCCTCTCAGACCACAGCAGGTCTCAGTTTCCCCTGTGGTGACTGAAGTTCCCGAGGCCCCAAGGAGAGAGAGGTGGTGCAGTGCCAGCCCTGAGAGGAAGCTAGTGCTAGGGGCGTTGGAAGAAGTTTGCCCAGGTTCCTGGAGGTGGAGCCTAGGCCTGGCAGACAAATCGGGGCCCAGGGAGAGAAATCCTGGAGCTGGGTCTTGGTGCGGTTCCCTCCAGGTGTCTGTGTGTCCCAGGGGGGGAGAGGAGAGAGCTGAAGAGAGTGCTCACCCCAGCTGTGCACAGTGGTGACTCCCAGATCCAGCCTGTGTCTGGGGCACTGCCCGGCCTCACACTCAGGCAGCCCAAGGGAACTGGTGAGCTGGAATTTTCCTCCCAGACTGATGAGCCATGCAAACCACACAATTCCTCTGTCGCCCCCTCTGCACTGCCAGCGTCCGGGTTCCTGGAAAAGAAGGGAGGGGGTTCAAGGCCCACAGACCCCACGCCTGAGCCACAGCTAATGTGGAGCCTCACAACCCCCTTCTTCGAGTTAGGGATCTATTTCTCAAAGGATCTTTGAAGTCCTGTTGTTACTTAGCTTCATAATAATCGCAAACCACTTGTATCGAAATATTTCTGGATCCCCTTGGAATGAAAACTATTCCATTATCAGTTCCCACCGCCCTAGGATGACTCAGCCTCTGCTGACTTGAGCCAAGTAAACTGGAAAAGAAACGTTAAAAAAAAAAGAAGTTTTTTTTCTTCTTCTGTGGGTTTTGGGCCATACCTGGCAGTGCTCAGGACTTACTCCTGCCTCTGTGCTCAGGGATCACACCTGGTGGGGTTTAAGGGATCCCATGAAGTACCAGGGATCAAACCCAGGTTGTCCGGATGCAAGGCAAGCACCCTATCCACTATCACTCTCCTGAAGCACATTTTTTTAAATTTAGATTTTTATTAGTGAAACACCATGATGTACAGTTGTAGACTTACAAATTTTTGTGCTTGGGTTTCAGTCATACAATGATCGAATACCCATCCCTCCACCAGTGCCCATTCTCCACCACCACTGATCCCAGTATCCCTCCCACCCCCTGTCCCCCCATCCCACCCTGCCTCTGTGGCAGGGCATTCCCCCTTGTTCCTGAAGCACATTTTTGAAGCCTCCAAAACACTTTAAAATTGATTATAGTCATTAGAATATATGCCATAGGGCCAGAGAGAGATAGTTAAGGAGCTAAGGGCCTTCTCGCATGGAGCCAACCTCAGTTTGAATCTGTTACCCTACATGGTCCCCTGAATACCAGGAGTGATCCTTAAGTGCAGGCAGAAGCAGGACTTAGCCCTGAGCACTGCCTGGTGTGGCCCAACCCTAGGTGTATATATGTACTAGAAAAAGCCTTCTCTGTGAGTTCTGTATTTTACATTCCTATAACTTTTGTATGTTTGTCTAATGCCTGAACCTCAGGCAGCAGGACTGCACATGTGGGATACTAAGAATTTGAACTCATGACCGAATGCTTACGGGGTTGCAGGGCACGTGCTCTAGGTGGCTGCCTCATCCCTCTGGGTTGCTCTAGTGATTTTTTCAATGTTTATCTTCTCTAGTTGGCAACTGTGTAGGAATTTCTCTTGTGGAAATTCCACCTTTCTCTGTGAATAGTTTGGTTATGTTCATCTAGGGTTTCCCTCTTTCTGTTCATCCTAATGTTTGTATTTTATATCTGTACATATGTCAATGGGCTGGAGCGATAGCACAGTGGGTAGGGCGTTTGCCTTGCACATGGCCGACCTGGGTTCGATTCCTCTGCCCCTCTCGGAGAGCCCATCAAGCTACCAAGAGTATCTTGCCCACAGGGCAGAGCCTGGCAAGCTCCCTGTGGCATTTTCGATATGCCAAAAATAGTAACAACAAGTCTCACAATGAAGACATTACTGGTGCCCACTTGAGCAAATCGATGAACAATGGGAGGACAGTGCTACAGTGCCACTTATGTCAGTATATAATGATAATTTTAGATCTAACTACCATCAGCATTTTTCAACACGCTTTCCACTGAATGTCACCCCCCCCCCCCCCCAGCTCTCAGGACAGTGGGACATACAAATGCTAATTCCATTGTTTCAAGAGCCCTCTAAAAAGAAAAGGCTTAAATATTTAACCTATCCCTACTTATGGGCATTTAATTTTTCAGAAGCTTTAAATTATACTAGAGTAACTGGTGCTCATAAAGTCCACCTATATCTGCACAGTATTTGTCCTCAAAGGAAAATTCCTAAATTAGGGGTTGGAGCAATAGTATAGTGGTAGGGCATTTGTCTTGCATGTGACCAAAAACTAACCCAGCACCCTGTATGGTACCCCAAGCCTCAGCAGGAGTGATCCCTGAGCCAGGAGTAAGACTGTCCCCGAGGAATACATAGAAGGACATAGAAGACTGTGTGTGGCCCAAGAAACCAAAAATACACCCAGACACAAAATAAAAGCTAAATAAAAATTCCTAGATTAAGTTATCAAATAAAGAGAATTAGTTAAAGATGTTATGGGACTCCAGAAGGTCCCTTTGAAATTGATCCCAAACCAAGCTGGAACGTCGATGCAGCTCAGTGGTGGTGAGTGTGGGAGGCCCTGGTTCCAGCCTGGTGTCAGAACAGATAGCAAGATAACTTGCTTGCCTTGCACACGGCCAACCTGGGTTTGATCCCTAGTATCGCCTATGGTCCTTTGAGCACCACCGGGAGTAATTTCTGAGTGTAGAACCAGGTGTAACTTCTTGAGCACCACTGGGTGTGACCGCCCAAGCCAAAACCAAACCCAAACAAAATAACTCCCCAAACATAATAATCTAATAGAATATACAAAACCCGTGTATGAAGAAAATCATCATAAAGCAGAGAAAAGTTGGTGTAGGAGTGCAACCAGCGTCTTTGTGTTGGGAAGTGGGCAAGGAGCCCCCATGAGCAGTGGAGGAGATTGCAGGTTTGCAGGAGATTGCAGTGGAGGAGAGTTTGCCCAGGTGAAATGAGTTCCCTGCTCCCAGTCCCTGGGGGTTCCCCGGGACCCGTGTCCCCAGCTGGCTCAAGTGCCCCTGTTCATATCAGCATGTCATAGTGGTGCGGGTGCTGAGCCGAGTGGGCATGAGCCCAGGTGCCCCACGCTGGGCTCCCCCAGGCCAGG